GGAAGGAAGGAAGGAAGGAAGGAAGGAAGGAAGGAAGGAAGGAAGGAGAGAAAAAAATTAACTCCCACCCCTTGAAGCCATCAACATCCCTAGAATGCTATCTAACAGCTCTGTGACATCAACAGAGAAATATTTTGTGAAGTAGGTGATGGCTAATACAGAAACTCACAACTAGTCAAAGTACAAAGAATAAGAGACTGTGGAGTGCACATCAACGTCACATACCAACGTCACACACACATACACACACACAAACACAGACACACACACACAAACACACACACACACACACACACACACACACACACACCGTGGCTCAGAGTGACTATGCAAAGAGGGGATGGAAAAAATTTTAAAACCCAAACATTGGTTAGGCTAGAAGAAAAGTCTTCTGGACATGACCAAAAGCTGCACTCATAAATCGCAGCAGCTATGGCTGCCTACAGGAATTCCTCTTTGCTAATATTTTAATTTAATTTGTTTGGTTTGGGGTTTTCTGGGACAGGGTCTACCGATTGGGTTACAGGCACGAGCCACCATGCCTGGGTCCCTCCATGGTTCTTAAACCTAGCTAGCTGACTGTCTTATAAGAACTGCATCCAGTGCTGACTGAATGGGATTATATAAATACCTCAGCCACACCACTTGACACACCAAATCCAACCACGTGAGCTCAATCAACCCAAAGAACCACCAGAATGAAAAGCCTGTCACTGGGCAAGGCCACTAAGTTCTGGAGCGATTTGTTGCGCAAAAATAACTAGCAAATAGCATGTCCCACCCTCACACATCTAAGCTACACTTCACATTAGATGCAGAGGTCAACCTGGAAGAGCAGACCATGAGAGGCAAATGAACCAAAGAGTGCTACACACAGCAAAGCCGAGCCCTGAGCCAATGTCTTCCCCACATAATCTCTTGCATGGCCACCAGTGCAGAGCTGGAAGCACAGCCTGCTGGTCAGACATGGGCTTCAGATTCAGGCCAGCTAAGGTCCTGGCTCTCCTCCCTGCTGGCTGGCTTCAAAAGTTACTTAGACTTCTCTGAGCCTCAGTTTCATGATAGCTTCTTAGGTTACCTTAGAGAGGTGCTGTATTATTCAGAGCAAATGCCCACATGTGTACACACACACATACGGAGAGAGGGAGAGACAGAGATAGGGAGCTAGAGAGAGAAAGAGAGAGACAGCTTACCTAAAAAACCCTACCCATGTTTCAGCAAACCTTTGACAGATGCTACATTTCTAAGAAAGCCTACCATCTTACCTAAAGACCTCCATGTGGGGCTGCTGCAGGCCTCACCACTCTTTCTGTCCCTTGTGTGAAGCACACGTCGCCCACTGAAATCATGCTAACCCCACTGTCATTTGTTAATGTTGCTTTCACTAGCTAACATCCATCACCTTTACTTGAAACTGGTATGTGGGAGGGAGCTACAAAGAAAAGCGTGTGAGGCATTGTGTGTATGGTTTTGCAGAGAGAGATCTGTCTGGGGAGAGTGGAAAGGGGAGGAGGACACACCCAGAAGCAACCTCAGACCTTCCGGATGAAGCCTAAACAAAGTATCTCTGCCGTCCTAAAAAGGCAGATGTCTCCTTGGCACGGTGATGACCCTTTCCCACGGGGCAGCAGTGCTACAGTTTGTATCTTGAATGTCCCCCAAGGATGTGTGCTAATGGTTCAGTCCCAAGGAAGCCCTACTGGGTAGTGGTGGAATCTTGAAGAGGTGGAGAACTGTGGGAAGAGGCCCTTAAGCATTAGGTATGTGCCCTTGAACTGGATAATGGGACTGCAGCCTATCCACCCTTTCTGCTTTTCTTCCTTGCTCAGATCTAAGCAGATTAGCTTCACCATGGGTTCAAACCATGAGATGCTGATCCTCCACAGGCCCAGAGAGGCAGGGCAACTGGGCTAGTTATTTTTTATCAAGTTGACACTAAGTAGCATCCATCCCTGGTAAGAAAGAACCTCAAGTAAATAAATTATAAAAAGTAAATTTCTTAAAAAAGAAAAGAAGCGCAATTGAGGAACTTCATCCATAGACTGGCCTGTGGATGGGACATTTCCTTGATTAGTGAAGGATGGAGGAGGATCCAGCCCACTGTGGGTGGTGCCACACCTTGGGCAGGCTGAGCAAGGCATGGAGAGCAAGCCAGGAATGTTCCTCCATGACCCTGTGCTTTAGTTCCTGCCCCCAGGTCCCTGCCTTGGGTTTCTGATTTGGCTTCCCTCAGTGCTGGACTGTGACCTGGGAGCAGGAAGATAAAAATGAATCCTTGTCTCCCACAAGTTGCTTTTTGTTCAGTGTTTTATCGCAGCAACAGAGGGGCAAAGCTGCAGTGGGAAGCTGCAGTGCTGGACCTGGCCTTGTTGTTTTAGAGGAGAATGATGGAAGGATTTGGGAGTCTGGGACTGGAAAAGGCAGAGATCTCAGAGTTCCTTGAGTTAATACAGAAGACTAGGGGGGTGGGGGAAAGCTTAGCAGAGCAAGGCAGGGGAAGCAGCATTCCTCCATGGTCTCTGCTTCAGTTCCTACCTTGTGCTCCTATCCTGACTTCATGAAACGATGAAATAGCACCTGTACGCTGAAATAAACCCTTTGCTCCTGAAGCTGCCTTTGTCTGATGCTGTATAGCCACAACAGAAAGCAAACTAGAACAGGTCATTACGGAACTGGAGCCCTCCTAACAGTGAGCCAATACAGACATGTTCTTGTCAGTCCTTCGTCCTGGTACTTCACCACGGCCAATCTGAACAAAGCATAGTGTCAGCTGCTCCTTTTAGGAGCCTAAGGCAAAGTCTACCCAGGTTCGCTCACTCATTCACTCCCTCTTTCATTCAGCTGACTTTTGCTGAGGACCCAGGAGATGCAAGTAAAAAAGGCAGCTCCTGAATCGGAGGGTCCCAGCTAACCGTCCTCACAACAGCTACGCAGTTTAACATACAGATCCGGCTCACTGCCCTGGGGCAGCAGCCCCGATTACAAGTTTTGGCCAACACTGCGAACGCTGAAATGACTTTGAAGACCTGTGGGTACAACTCATCTTCTGGACACTAGATCTTGGGGGGAAGACCTCTGGCCAGGGTCATCCAGAGACCTAACTGAGCCAGAAACAGATTAGAGTCCAGGGTCCCACTCCCCAGGCCTAGGTGACAAGCACTTCTAAGGATGGTCTTCACTTTACTGTTAGCCTGAGGCACAGTCCTAAGAAGAGCCCTCACCCTAAGAGTCAGGGAATCCCCAACTGCAGTAACACAACAGCAGTATTTCAGAGGCCTTACAGCCATCCATCCTGTGATAAACACTCTTTATTAATTATCTCAAATCCTCAGGACAAGCCTGGGAGTGCGCACCGTTTTTCTCACGCTACAGATTAGCAAACTAAGATCCAGAGAGGGTGAGCTCCGAAGGGAGTCCCACAGCTATTTAGTAAAGGGGGAAAGTCTTGAAACGCTGAGTCTACCAAGATCACAACTTCAGGAGCATGCATCAGCGTTCAAAAAGCGGATGATGAACTGGAGAGCGGGACAGGACAGTCCACCCAGGAGGGACAGCTGGAGCCCACACCCTGTGCCTGAGGCGGGCGGCATGTGGACGTGATGCCCTGCACGGCACCCTCCGCTCATCTCTGAGAGCAGCCTTCGAGGAAAACCGCCTGCATCCTCGTCCAGCACATCCCGAGAGCAGCAGGAGCGCTGGAGGGGAACCCCGAGAGTAGCTCTGGACCCTTGAGGGTTGGGTCTCGGCACCACGCGACGCAGGCGGGGGGGGGGGGTAGTTCAGGCTCTCCGCAGCGGACCCACCGCCCAGGCTGCAGGGACTAGTACCTTTCGGAGGAAGCAGGCGACCACCTGCTCGAAGGGGTACTGGAACACCTGGTGCACGTCTACGGTGACCCCCATGCCGCGCACCCACTTCCAGGAGCCCAGCCGAGCTCCGGCCACACCCCTCGGCCAAAGGGGCGTTCACTCTCTCTCCCCTTTTCAAACTTCTCAAACTTTATTGTCCCCCTCCGAGACAAGGCTGTAGGTCACACCCACGTCCCCTTTCACTTACTGTCTCATAAAGTTATCGCCAAAGAAGACGCCTCAGACTTCGTTCCATGTCCCCTCTCTGGCCACGCCTGCAGATAGCGCCCTGCCTCTGAGCCACCCGGTTACACCATGCCACCCTGCGCTTTAAAGCAGCCAGAATTTCAAGCCATCACTGCCGGAGGTCACGGAATTTGGTTCTGTTCACAGAACCAAACAGAAATAAAATGTAATAATTAGGTAAGCCACCGCCCTAAAACAACGGGCGTGGTGGTGCTACAGTCCAGCTCTGGGTCGTCCAGGGAGGCAAAGGCCAGCAATTGCACGCTTCACGGAGCTGGACTTCTGCCTGAGTCATGGGGCAGGGCCTCTAGCTGGCAGGAAACTTCCCTCTTCCCAGAACAATCTAGGAAATAGTCTGCCTGGGTATCCAACTCTAGAAGTTCCCGGGCTAAGGTTAAGCACCGGCCTGCAAGGAAAAGGATACAGAAGAAACCTTGTGTTTTCTTTCCTCCCAAAGAACAGTTGTTACTGGAACCACCAAATGTTACTACTTTTATTTACTAAGTTGTTCACCTGTTTCTGTGGTGTGCCAGACACTGTGGACAGCGCAGCAAATTCAAGCCGTCCCTGCTGCTGGGTGAAATGAATGAGGCGTGGGATTTGACACCCACTCAATAATGCAGCAAAATAAAGTTCCAGGGCCTAGGATATGTTGGTGCTGAGTTAAATAAACATGGACATTCCCTGAGATGTCCTCGGTCATTTTCCTGGGTTGTTCAGAGCTATCCCGGTAGACAGACCCTGCTGTCAGAACTCAAAACCACCCTCCTTAACCGACCTTTTCCTTCCCTCCTCCCTTTCTTGTTGTTTGTTTGTTTGTTTGTTTGTTTGATGTGTGTGTGTGTGTGTGTGTGTGTGTGTGTGTGTGTGTGTGTTTTGTTGGGTTGCCCCTGCCCCCCCCACACACACACACAGATATTTTTTTTTAAAAGAGGACTCTCATTACCTCGCTGCATTATAGGATTACCTTGAATTTCTGGTTCTTCTGCCTCCACCTCCAGGGAAATTACAGACTGAGTTTACAGATATATACCACCATATTCATTTTTTTATGTGGTACTGGGGCTCGGGGCTTCTGCTTACTAGGCAAGAACTCTTGAAACTAAGTTATATATGCTCTCAGCCCCTTTAAGGGACCTTTCAATGTTGTCAGGCCAAGGTTCTATCAACATACAAAATGTCTCTGATCTGCTTGCTTTGATACCCTTCCCTCACCTCAGGCTTCCATTGCCTCCTTTCCCAGCCCTGTTCCCAGACCATAATCTGGATGTCCTCCTTATTCAGTGACAGGAAACATTTCACCTCTGCTGTAGAGATGAATTCAGAACATGGTTGTTCTGGCAAGAGATTACATCCAAAGACCTAGGTCTGTGTGATCCAGCTGGAATAGAGACACACTTTTAATCCCAGGAGACAGAGGCAAGCAGATCTCTGAACTCAAGGCCAGCCTGGTACAGAGCAATTTTTAGATAAAGAAAATCTTAGGTCCAGGAGTGGCGGTACAAGCCTTTAATACTAGCATCCAGGAGACAGAGACATGGAGATCTCTGAGTGCTGTTCAGTGAGTTCGGTTGAGTCTGTGAATTTAAAGACAGTGCAGGGGAGCTGAGCTTCTAGCAGTTCAGTTCGTGAGAGTCAGAGGCAGTTTTGCCAGGAGAGTTTTATAGAAAGAGCTTGAAGAGAGCAAGGTAAACACAAGTAAAGACAGAATGGGCCAGAGAATGAGGAGCCAGATGATTAGAACATATTGTCAAAGTTAATATGAGGTCAAGCAGAGCAATTCAGTGAGAAACTGAGAAAAATCAGATGGAATCAGTCAGCTTGGAGAGGAGTTTTGAGCCAAAACATCTGAGTTAAACCAGCCAGCCAGAGTTCAAAGAGAGCCAGAAAGGGTAAGCTTGTTCAGTAGTAAGTCTCAGAGGTTGAAAACATTCTAGGCCTACATTAGATTTTATGGAGGCTGGAAGCTTCCTGGACTAGGTTAGCAGACAGAGGCATTAAGTCTCAGAGATGACAATTAATTACATCAGGAGAATAACAGTTAATTAACATCTGTCCTTGCAGGTGAATTCTCTGCACTTAGTGTAGGGACAGTCTGTCTACCCAGATTCCAAATCCAGGGTGGACAAATGATTAACAAACCTCCTCCCTTATAAGGCAAATCCAACAGAGCCCTTTCTTCTCTAAGTTACTAGTTCAAGTGGTGAGGATGCCTGTGTTTAATGATAACCTCACTATAGAGTAAGGAAGAGCACACAGGACCAGCAGAATATCTTCACTATCCACATGGGGCTAGTCAAAAATAACCCCAATATAGATAATGGACAAAGTAACATCATCAGAAATCTCATTCAGAATGTCAAATAGGATAGACACCAGAAGCGGTAGAAGAGAGGAAACAGGATGGAAGCCTACTATAGAGGGTGCTCTGAAAGGATTCACCAAACAGGGGGTCCAAGCAGATGCTGAGACTCACAGCCAAACCTTGGGCAGAGCGCAGAGAGTCTTATGGAAGATGGGGGGGAGGTGACTAGAAGGACATGGAAGGGACAGGAACCCCATACAGACACCAAGAAAGCTAAAAAATCTGAGTCCAGGTGCTCTTGCAGAGACTGATACACCAACGGAGGACCATGCATGGAGAGGACCTAGACCCCCTGCTCAGATGTAGCCAATTGTCAGCTCAGTCTCCAGATGAGTTCCCGAGTAAGGGGAGCAGGGGCTGTGTCTTTCATGAATTCGGTTGCCTGTTCTTTCATCACTCACCAGTGGTCATGTGGCCTTGTCAGGTCACAGAGAAAGAGGATCCAGGCAGTCCTGATGAGACTTGACAAACTATGGGCAAATGGCCGAAGAGGAGAACTCTGCCTTTCAGTGGACTAGGGGAAGGGGATAGGGAGGAAGAGGGAGGGACTGGGAGGAGTGGAGGGAGAGGCCTTCAATCAGGATATATAATGAATAAATTCTGAAAAAAGTAAATTAAAAAAAATTTTTAAAATAAAATATTTAAAGACAAAAAAAAAAGAAAAAGAAAAGAAATGATGTGTTGTGGGTGGTGGTAGCACAGGCCTTTAATCCCAGCACTCAGGAGACAGAGGCAGGCAACCTCTGTGAGTCTGAGGCCAGTCTGATCTACAAAGTGAGTCCAGGACAGCCAAAGCTACACAGAGAAACCCAGTCTCAAAAATAGATAGATAGATAGATAGATAGATAGATAGATAGATAGATAGATA